AAAAAAAAAAAAAAAAAGAAACTGAATTGAAAATTTTCTATATTAAACAATCTAATCAAATCATATTGAAATGCAGATTCGACTCTGTTTTGGTTCTAGCTCATTTTCTATACACTTATATTTAATTTTGTGCGCTTCGATGAAAAATCGTACAAAACAAAAAAAGAAAAAATAGAAAGGGGAACATATAAAGATAATAACCGAACTGCGCCGTAGTATAAAAAAAAATACCAAATCGGAAGTTTTTCACACTAAATTTCAAATTACACTGAATTTCACAGTCGACCTGTTATTACTCAATTTTGACTTCACCTATTAAGATACGACATGTGAATATATATCAAGTAAATATAAAATAACAGATTCCACGGGTTCTCATAAGACAAGACTGTCCGCTTCCAGAAACCGCCAGCCCGACCCGGATATCACAAAGAAGTCGCCTCGACAGACAAAATAATTGATGACAAGACAAATGCTAGTCGAAGTGTCAGTCAAAGCCATTATTTAAATTATTAGGCCCTGCGCGATCATATTTATAATTGGACCCTGCGTGGTCATATTTGATTAATTACATGTATATTGTGAAAGCCCATTAAATGTACGGGCGCATATTAGCATGTATAAATATGAGCTTGAGGATAAGTATGAAGAGGATCCTGATTTGAACAAAGAGGCACCGCCTCTATAAGCATCTCTCTGATTCTTTTCTTATGACTTATCTCACAATTTAATTTCTTTCGATTCTTTCATTTGATTCACAACGAAATTCATAGAAATTCGACAAATTTGATGATATATACAGTTATTCGAATACCCTACGTTCTTACAATTTCGCATAACAACACGGCCCAATTTTTGCTTACCATTAAGGCGACTCAATCACATGAGTTCATTAAAAAGAAATTGTTATATTTCAACGAAAAATCTAATGTTAATATATTGCAATGGTATAACTTCCGTTGATATAATTGCAACATAAATACCAACGAAAATATTCCGTTGGAATGTGTTTTTCATTGGAACTTTCGATGAAATTTTGATGATTCCAACGGCTTTTTACCGCAACAATTTCTATTAGAATTTTTATTTCCACCCCTGTTGAAAAATCTACCGTTGGAATTGTCAAAATTCAATGGAAATTCCAATAGAAAATTATTCTTGGAATATTTTTGTTGGATTTCCATTAGAATCCATTGGAAATTCCAACGAAAATAATAGCATTAAAAAACATCCATTAAAATTGCGTAAGACTTATATGAATATATTTTCGTTAGAATTTCATCATTTTCTTGTAATGGTTCTACAAGTTTGGACCAAAAGTCAGTTATACTGTTGACTACATGGGTCGGTTACAATTATATACCCAAATCAATTCGGAATGTAGCACCGCACTAATTGAATGATTTGATCAATTTTGTTCAACCCTACAATCGACTCAATCTCTGAACTCAACCCGGTTTGGACCCGAAGTCAGTTGCATTATTGACCACATGGGCCGATAGAGCCCTTCACATGAAATAATGTCTTATTATGACTAGTTATATTTTTTTATTTATCTATTTTCAACTTATTTTATTTCTTTAATAATGTCTTATTATGACTAGTTATATTTTTTTATTTATCTATTTTCAACTTATTTTATTTCTTTATATGTCGGTATCATTTTTGAAGAACTAATATAACATTTTATTTCTTTATAAGTTCAAGTTTTTCGATAACTTGAACATATAAAAAACTAATCGAACTACACCGTAATATTATTAAGAAAAAAAAAGAGAAAGAAAGATCAAAGATAAATTGAAATTTTTCTAAATTAAAACAATCAAACGAATCACACTAGCATGCACGGTTCGGCTCTGTTTCACTGTTAACCCAAATTTTCTATACAATTGATTGAATTTGGTGCACTTCGATGAAAAATCGAATAGAACAAAGAAGAAATAGTAGAAACCGAACATATGAAGAATAACAACCTAACCGAAATAATCTTTTTTCCCAACTTTCTGCACAACGAAACGTAATCATTTTATGTTGTTGGCCTCCTCCCCAACGGAGCGCTCCGCGCCCCCGCATTGTTGTGAACACTAGATCGTGCTCCTGGTCTCCCGTCGAGTCGTGAGCTTCTCAGTCGAGCAGCCTCTCGATGAGCCGCGTTGCTTCAATTGGTTCTTTGTTGCTCGATATGGTTCCGTCGTTTCAATTGCGTGATTGAGCGGCTTGCTTCGAGTACCGTTTGTCGTGGTCAGAGCTTAGGGTAACTCTCTCTTTCTCCCTATTCTCCTAATCCCTTGGTGTTGGGCGGTAGGTTTCTGCCGGATGGCTTGTCGACTTTGTTTGTCTGTGGTTGGCGAGGTGGTTGGACTTTGGGACTGGAGTGGTTCACTGCTCCCCCTGTTTTACCATCTTTCCTGAGGTTGGGCGTGGCTGCGCCGGTGGTATGGGTCGTTGGCCCCAGTGGCTAGTCGGCTTCTGGTCACCGGTTGGTGTGGGGGTGTGTGCTTGGGGCTGATCTCTGGCTTGCTAGTTCAAGGGTGGTCTACCTCAGAGAGAGACTTCGAATTTGGGAGGTCAGGTCTTGTTAGGCATTTTCTGCAGTTTCAAATTTTGCGCCATGGATTGGGTCTCTCTCCGTGGGGGTGGTAGCCCTTGGAGATTGGTGGCGTAGTTTCCTGCAAAGTTGCTTGCTGGCGGTTGTGGAGTGATTTAGTTTAGTTTAGTTTTTAGCATGGTTCTCAAAATCGAACCGGACATCGAACCGGTGAAACTACCGGTTCAATAGTTCATTGGTCGGACCAACAGTCGAATCGATTTAACAAATATATAATTTTTTATTATTTTATATGTATAATATATAATTATATATATTTTTATCATTAATTTTATAGTGTATGTCGTATCCCTAAATAAGAGTTCAATAATGAATACAACCGACAGTTTTGAATAATGTTGATGACTTTTTTAATTTTATTTTTTATATTTTTTAATATATATTTAAGTTACAAAATATAGATAATAGAAACAACTCTGTTTTAATTTTTAAATCATATTTTAAGTTCTTTTATTATTGATTAAAAAGTTGAGAATAGATATAGCCCAATAGATAGCTCAATATAAAAGATAGTATATTTTTCTTTTAATGAACACAATTTTGCTTGTAAGGTCCAATATTGGCTTAATAAATTCAAGAAGAACCTTTATGTGTGAACATATCCCAGTAATTTACTCAACCGTTATTTGTGAACATATCTCACACTGAAAACACAAGTAAAAAATGTGTGTTATTTAAATGGCATCACAATCAACTCCTAATAAATTCAAAACCTAGAAGCGTTGAATCGTTCAAATCGGTTCACCGGTTCGATTGATTTTGGATCGGTTCGAACGATTCTCGGGCGGTTCGATTGTCTACCGGTTTTATGGTCCAAATCGGACCAGATTGAAGGTCGGTTCCCAGTTGCATTGGCCAGTCCGGTTCGATTTCAAAACCATGGTTTTTAGGCTTTTCTTGGATTGGTAAAGTTGTCTCGATTGAAATTTAGTTTAGTTAATTTGGTGTATTAACAAGTTTTTTTTTTTCGAGGACAACACGTTACACCCGCATGGTGAACTCCGACTCCAATCTATCACTAGTCGTTGGTTTCCGACAACCTCCGCCGCCTACAGGCCAAGCCCAGGAACGCCGTTCATCGTGAAGGCCGCCTATAAATTGGTCGGCACACAGAGCAGCCACCGATGCTCGTTGTCAAAACCAAGAAAGAGAAAAGCTCAAATTTTGGCTTTCTTATGGTCAATCTCTTTTTCACCTCTCAAATTTGTTTTTTTCACTCAAATTTTGGCAAGGGTTCGTTAGTTATCAATTTTAGAGTTTATGTTTTTTCAATATTTACGTATTTGTTAAAGGAAAAACTTAGAACCAATTTAATCTCGTTCAAAATTTGACTCAACTTTAACTCAACTTCACTATTTTCAATATTATCAATATAATTAAATAATAACAATCAATCATTAAATAATATCAACCAATCATTTTTACACATCATATCAACTTTAATTCACTATTCATCCACTCACATAATTTTAATTAACCATCAGTTCATATCATCTATCTCTTACTTTTACATCAAACCAATTTTAATTATTTTAATTATTTTAATATAAACTCAAAATCTAACTAACAACTAATTACACCACTTTTTTAAATTAACCCTAGCTAAAAAACAAAAAAAAAAAACTCACTTTGAATTAATTCACTCAAATTATTCATTTATAGTTAATTTTTTGTAATAGTTGGTAGTCACATAATTTTGCCCCTTCACAATTATAGACCGATTCAATTTGGGCTGTAGGCCCAATACATTTAAATGCGAAATTCTAAAAGAAGCAATGCCAAAACGATTATCTTCAGTCGAAACATTCAAACAAAGTACACTCCCCATGGCGAGAAGCTCGTTGCGCCAACGCCTCCTTTCAAAACCCCGCCCAGCACCTCCCGCCAACCCTTTCTGCACCTCCACGGCCGCAGACCCGCCGGCGCATACGAAGCTTCTAGAAGACCTCCGGCAGATTAGGGTCCTCATCCAACAGAGGCAGACCAACAGGGCGAAGGACAGCCTCCGCGCGCTCATCCCTCTGCAATCCGCTTCTCAGCTCTACAATTCCTTCTCGCAAACCTTGCCGCCGTCGGGCACGAAGCCTGCGTTCGCAGACGCTCTCCTGACGGCCTACGCGGAGGCCAAGCGCCCCGACGATTGCGGCGAATTGTACGGCCTCATCAGGGGCGAAGGTTATTTCCCCTCGATCCCAGCCTTCAACCTTCTTTTGCAGTCGCTGGTGGACTCGAGCCGATTCCAGAGGACGCTCGAGGTTTTCTTCGACGCCGTTGATTCTGGGGCGTCACTGGATTATTTCAGCTACGGCAAAGCGATACAGTCGGCGGTGAAGCTGGGGCATGTGGTTAAGGGTTTGGAGTTGATGGGTCGGATGAGGAGTAATGGTTGGAAACCGGGATGGTTTGTGTACAATGTTTTGATCAGTGGATTGTGTAAGGAGAGGAGGCTGGACGTTGCCCGGAAGCTGTTCGATGAAATGCTCAGGTTGAATGTGGTCCGGACAAGGGTGACCTATAATATGCTGATCGATGGGTGTTGTAAAGCCGGAGATTTGGAGGGGGCTTTTGTTTATCGAGATAGGATGAAAAATGAAAAAGTGGAGCCAAACATTGTGACTTATAACACGTTGCTCAATGGGCTCTGTAAGATGGGTAGAATGGAGGAGGCTAGTAAGGTTTGGGATGAAATGGAGGCCCACGGGCTCGTGCCGGATGGGTTCAGTTACAGTCTGATTCTCGAAGGGCACTCTAGGCGAGGTGATGTTGAGGCCTCAATAGATTTGTACAGTGATGCAGTTAAAAGAGGCGTGAGCATGAATGCATACACTTGTAGTGTTTTAATAAACACTTTGTGCAAGGAAGGGAAAATGGATCGAGTGGAGGAGCTCTTGGCAAAGCTGAAAGAATCTGGAGTTGCCCTGACTGAGGTCATGTTCAATACCGTGGTGAACGGCCACTGCAGGGCAGGAGATATCGAGAAAGCCCTCATGGCTGTTGAGAGAATGGAGAAGGAGGGTGTGGGGCCCAGCTGCATCGCGTACAATACAGTGATCAACAAGTTCTGCGAACTGGGCCAGATGGACAGTGCGAACGAATGGGTTGAGAAAATGAAGGCAAAGGGCGTTGGTCCAGACGTGCAGACGTATAATATCCTGATGGGTGGCTACGGTGGAAATTGCCAGTTTGAAAAGTGTTTGCAGAATCTTGACGAGATGGAAGCCAATGGCTTGAAGCCCAATGTTGTCACTTACGGGTCCCTGATAAACGGCTTCTGCAAGAAAGGGCGGGTTCTCGAAGCTGAGGTCATCTTCAACGACATGTTGACGAGAGGCGTGCTCCCGAACGCTCAGGTTTACAACATGCTCATACACGGTTTCTGCTCGGTTGGAAAAATCGACGATGCCCTTAGGGTTTTCAATGAGATGTTAAATAATAAAGTGCGTCCTACGATTGTGACGTACAATGCGCTCGTGAAGGGGCAATGCAGGAAAAACAGGCTCCAACAGGCAGAAGAATTAGCCTTTAGTGTTGCTCGTGAAGGCTTGAGTCCCGATGTGATCACATTCAATACCTTGATCTCCGGGTTCTCTGCAGCAGGCAAACTGGACAAGTGTCTCGAATTGTATGAGAAGTTGAAATCATCTGGGCTGAGGCCCACGCTAAGCACCTACCACCCGCTGATAAGTGTGAGCAAAAAGGACAGGCTGGATCTCGTCGAGAAATTCGTTCAAGAAATATCAAAATTCAACTTGGCACCCGACCGAGTTGTTTACAATGGGCTCGTTCAGTGCTACATACAGCACGGGGACATTCGAAAAGCTAACCAGCTTTGGCAGGAGATGTTGGGTGCGGGGATTTGTCCAGACAAGATGACGTACAATAGCTTGATAACCGGATGCTTGAAGGAAGGGAATATGCAGGCCGCAAGAGAGCTTTTTGACGGCATGATTTCCAAAGGAGTTGCGCCCAGTGACGAGACTTTCAACACGTTGATCGAGGGGCATTGCAAGCTGGGGGATTTTAATGGGGCTTATGTGTGGTATGAGGAGATGTCGAGAGCCGGGCTTCTGCCGCGTGTCTCAGTCTGTAACGGGCTTCTTTCTGGGCTGAGAGAGGAAGGGATGTTGGAGGAGGCTGAGATTGTGAGCTCTCAAATGAGTGCTAAGGGAGTTGAGCAGGGTTCGAGCGATGATCGATCGGCTGTTCACGGCTGAGATGATGTTTGATTGAGTTTGTGATGATAAGATTGAAACATTTTTCGGGTATTATTTCAATGTTCTCATCTGAGTACTTTGAAATTTGTAGAGGGTAAGCATAGTTTGGTGTGTTTATATGTTTGAACAGTTGAAAAGATTGTCTGAGTCTCTCAGAATGTGTTCTGAGATTTGGCATCACTTTAAAGGTTTTAATTAAGAATTTTCACAAAAAAGTATGCCAGCTGCTGATAGAAATTTGTACTTCCATGGTGTATGGTGTTGGCAAACTTAGGGTTGCTTGATTACAAAATATTTTATTCACATTTAATGCATATTCAAAAGTAACTCAACTCTATTATCCTTAATATTATTATATAATTAAATAATATAAATCAATTATTTTTGCATTCTATATCAATTTTAATTCACTATTCATCCACTTACATAAACGTAAATAACTATCAGTTCACATCATATCTCTCATACCTGTATATTAAATCAATTTTAAATATTTTTCATTAAATATTATTTTAATATACATTCAAAATCTCACTACTAACTAACTACATGTTTATCAAAATTTGGTTAACAAAAAAAA